AGGGTTCCCGTTCATCAGTTGTTGTTGTTGTTGTTGTCCTTCTTTATCTGTTTTGGTAACACCCAGGGTCCAGGGACATCTATGGTCTTGTGTGTTGAAGACCTTGCCTAGTAGTATTAAATTTCGGTTTTCTGTAACTAAGTTCATGCATGTTAGCTAAAGGTAGTCTATTATATTGTAGTTTGAGTCGATTTTACATAGCTTTTGTTTAGTTTGGTACCGTTGATGAATTAGCATGCTAGGGTCTGCTCTTGGCAGATCATTTTTCGATTTCATACTAGCTTACACTCCACCTACACATGCGACCACCGCCACCGGTTGTCCAACGCACCGTGGTCTGTGATCCAGCTTATAAGTTGTTCTGTTCTTGTCCTTCTTTAGCTGTTTTGGTAAGACCCAGGGTCCAGGGACATCTGTGGATCTTGTGTGATATCACAACTGAAGGTCTTGTGTTTCTATCAAAACTGAAGGTCTTGCCTAGTAGTATTAAATTTCGTCTTTTTAACCAACTATACATGTCAGCTAAGGTAGTCTATTCTATTGTGGTTTGAATCGATCATCAATAACTTCAGTTTAGTTTGGTACGGTTGATTAATTAGCATGCATGCTAGGATCTGTTAAAACCACACTGATTTCGTACTAGCTTACACTCTAGTTAGAACCACAGATTGTTGACCAGTTGATTGATTAGGCTGACTACTTGACTGAAATGCTTGATTAAGCTGGCTACACTGCTGTTGTGCTCTTCAGCCCGTGATGAGTTGCGATGGTTAATAGTTAAAGTTAAGCTGATAAAACAGATGCTTACTAAAAGTATATGTACGTCCAGGGAACTTGAACTGACAGGCAAGACGGGATATGAAAGACCCTACGCACACAAAAAGAAAAGTAAAGAAAAAGCTAGAGAGACATGGTGTGAATGAACGTAACTGAACGTGATTGATTTGATTGGGCATGAATATCACAGCATGAGGAAGCTAGTATTTTGTGGCTTTGTCCATAGACTTGTACGTTGCTTGTCCAATCACCTTTGAGGCTATGAGTTAGCTACTAGTGTAATCAATTATCACATATGTGCAAGCATTATCATATCGATAGGACAAATAATGCGATGGAAGGCTAGGATAGCAGGAAATCTTGCATGCATGTGTGGTTCTTGTGGACTTTTCATAAAAACAAATTGCTCCATGAGGCTTCTCCGCCTTGGCCCGTCAAAAAATGTGTGCAATGCACCCTTGTAACAATGAAATCCTCTAACCAATGCCTACTAACCACCTCTTAATTTTTGGTTCCTCAAGATTTAGTGTGTATGCTGATATTGTTTCCTTCATGTAATTTATATGATAAGAAATATATTTTATAATGATTACCCTAATGCGGTAAATACAATTTTCCACATATGTGATATGTCACTGTATTTACCCTAATACTTTCTTCAAATCCGGGTGACTGCTTCTCCTTGAAACTAAATTTATCAGCTGTCATGACCAATTTATGCAGATCTTAGACCAGAAGTACCACATATTAATTAACCCATATGATTTTGCAAGTATAGATTAACCCATATGATCTTTAACACATACTTTCTCATGCTTCAGATTCCACGATGTCTCAACCATCATCATCATCATTCCATGGAAGTGACGTGCGAGGAGACGATTTCACTCCCGCCATAGTAAGTATTATACAATATACACTGCTCCTAATCACTAGTTCTCTCTTGTATCATATTGTTTCTTCTATTATTGTTGGAACTAGAATTACAGTATAACTACTTTTCTATGTATTAAGTAACTAATTCAGTATGATGACTCATAGACTTACTCCCATTTCTCAGGATCGGAGAAGCATGCAAAGACTGGAGGGGCACGAACTCATAAAAGCATTGAACGTGAAGTATACCCCAGGGGCTCAGCCCTTGTTAGTCCTCTCACATGGCTTTGGTTGTGACAAGTCTGTTTGGCACAAGGTGATTTCTAACTTGAGAGATTCAGAAATTCATAGTGGTATTCTTACGTATGATCTTGCCTTTTCGGGAAAAGTTGGTAAGGATTATTACCACAAATATTCAGATAGATACCAAACAATCGATGGATATGTAGAGGACATTGTATCTATCCTCCAACACTACAGTATCCATACATGCATTTTTGTTGGCCATTCAACTTCTGGACTGGTAGGCCTACAAGCTTCCATTCGGCACAGAGACCTGTTTAGCCAACTCGTCCTTATCGGCACTGCCCCCTGGTAGGTAACCAATGCACATTTTGTTCCTGGCCATATAAATAGCATTCCATTGTGAATACTGCGTGCTGATCCTATTTTTATGCACACGATGCAGCGCTCTAGACAAATTCCCTGATTACATGATAGGGTATTCAAGGGAAAGGGCAGATGAGAGGCTTAAATTGATGGAAGTGGATTACAAGAAATTTGTGGAAACATATATTGAGATTGCACTTCCAGGGAACACCAAAGACAGCGCCAAGCTGAAACTAAACACATGTTGTCGAGGACGACCGGAGATGTTGTTAAATCAATGGCGACGATGGTATTCAACACAGACATGTGCCCCATGCTGCCACTTGTGACATCTGCATGCACCATCATTAGCACAAGTGCCAATACTGTTGCATCAACATTTGCTCAAAACTATATGATGCAGCAGATGAAGAATGCTAGAATAACACTAGTAGAGGTCAAGACCAAGGGCCACCTACCACATCTTACCGCCGGAAAGATGGTTGCGAAGCACATCTCAGATGTCATTCATGAGTGGTAAGCCTTTCATCCCATTGTTTTTATATAAGAACATTAATAGCTACTCATACTTGCAAAAACACAATCCTTGCTTTTTCCAGTTTGGTATCCCTACATTGCTATTCATACATGCAAAAACACAATCCTTGCTTTTTCCTATATGGTCTGACAAAAACACTATATGCATGTGCTTCCTTCTCACATACAGGATAGCAAGAACTGAGCCATTAACTTCCATACCTCCTAGCCTATTGCCTTCGTATGATAGGCTGCATGAAGAGATTAGGGTACTTAAAGAAGAAAACATGTTGCTGAAGAGAGAGAATGAAGCTCTGGAGAAGCCGGCGATTGATGAGACCACCAAACTGGCAACGGTGTCCCGGCCAGGTGGTGGAAGCCATGAAAGAACTGAGCCATTAACTTCCATACCTCCTAGCCTATTGCCTTCGTATGATAGGCTGCGTGAAGAGATTAGGGTACTTAAAGAAGAAAACATGTTGCTGAAGAGAGAGAACGAAGCTCTGAAGAAGCCAGCGATTGATGAGACCACCAAACTGGCAACGGTGTCCCGGCCAGGTGGTGGAAGCCATGAATCATCACCAGGCAGCGGAGGTTCTTGACCAAATAAGCGCATTGGAACTTGATGGTTCTTCCTCCTAGTATGATTTGTGTCCTGTTTGCGCATGTGTGTGTGCTCTGGCTGTGTGCGCGTGGGCGTGGTCTGGCTGTTAGCGCCTTGGTGTGCTTGTTGTGCATGTTTCTGCTCTTTTTCTTTGAATTATGTACTTTTCTAACTCGAGAGCTATGGATCTAAATCATCATAACTTAACGTTCATTCAGAAGTTGTTGCTGTGTTTCTGCTCTTTGGTGGCGCGTTCTGCCTGTGCCGCTGGTTCTGTTTTTCTGGCTTCGGAGCTATTGGTGTTACTGGTGTTAGCGTTGAACCTTT